TGCAATGCAATAGCATGCATGCATCTAGTATGTGGGATGTAGCTAGAATCAATGCATGTGCCATTGTGCAATCGTATTGACACTGATTGACACGTACTCCTGTAAGTTAACGATAACAATGCTGCCATATTGAATGATTCCTTGATGTTTCAAACAATGCGCTATTGTGTCAGGCGGTGTCAAAACTCAACACTGCAATCGGGAAAGCCTCAACATTGAAGGGCAAGGCTGACAGCATGTCTTGTCCTCAGCGCATTTAAGTAATTGTCTCAGTGAACTTCTGGAACAGTGGCATAACTGCCCTAGAAAACAAAACGCTATAGCATCTCGATCTCAGTGATTAGGGATTCAAATTCCCTTTCAAACCTTTCAGAAGATTCTCTTACATCTTTAGTTGTTATTTGACTCCCAGGGTGTGTGTTTAATCGTGAATTTGATGCGCGTGGAAGGTCAAAGTCTTTGAAGAAGATCTTCCTCGAGGAGTTGAACCCCCATGTTGCAGCTATGCAAAAGATGAGGGATTCCGTGCAGAAGCGTGTGGACTCGGCCAAGGCCATTTGTTTGCACACGCCATTGTACCTGTCAGCGCCCAAACTTAACAAAAACTCTCTGGCTATGTTTGGCAAAGTCATGATTCATAGAAAGTTGCAAACACAGATCTGCCCTGGAAGTCTTTCGAACAATTTATATTATATTGTAAACTCATTTCCCAAAAGTCTTCGACTTCTAGGGTCTCAAATCTCACACAGTGCAGTGTTGCCAGCTCTGAAGGTTGGTGATGAGGAGAAGCTCAAGAACAACACTGAGACGGACAATGTGATTAGTGCCTTCACCTCCTTTTTGAGGGACAACAACATGAAGTAGTGATTATGGATCTTGTCATTCCACTCTGAATCTTGTTCCTGGTGGGACCCTGGGTTTTAGCAACATGTCCAGGACATTTTGCTTTAGGGGGCCTAGGGATCCAGGAGTGCTTGGGGGCATGTTCAAACCCAAGAACTTGCCAAGAAGTGGTCTATAGAACTTCGCCATTGACTTAGCTATATAGTTTCCAGTTGCTCTCCAGGCTTTGGCCCCCGACTTCCGACCGAAGCATTCTTGCCCACCTGTGGCAAGTCAGAGTAGCGATTGGCCTAATGGTCCTGGGGGTTGAGTGAAAAGATGCGTGCATTCCCAAGAACTTCAGTGTGATTTGGTGTCTTCAAGATTGAACTGGGTGGTAACTTTCTGGCATTGATGCATTTTAGTCTGTGAGTAAATGGTACTTGCAGTACATATGTGGGCTATATGTACTTCAAGTTCCACATTAAACTGATACCATCTGGATCTCCTACCAATTGATTTGGCCAGGCGATCCCAATTGTTCATACGTGCTGCAAGAACAAATCGACTGCGTCAGCAGAGGGGTGATTTGGCCTAAACATATTTGTTTATGTGTGCACAGTCGACTTGTCCTAAACCAACGCTGGACCATCCCCCTTGCTGCCTCAGGTATCTTCGACTCATCAAGCGATGAAGCAAATGCGAGCTCACTTCAAAGAACCTCAGATGAATTGAACTGCGGGCTGAGGTGGCATGGTGTTGATGTTTTGTTTTATCCAAGGAGTCCGGCGGAAATGTGCATGCTAATAGTGCCATGCTGGGTTCCAAGAGTGGCTGGAACGATTCTCGGGATTTTTGGAATTTCACAAACATTGGAGCCGCCCCTTGACTTTTATTCGATTGTTTTTCTTTTATAGATTTTATGTGGTGCTATTTTCTTGGGTGGGGGGTTTATCTTGACCAAGTATATTTGTGACATGTGAGGAAATCCACTGGGTGCAGGTTCCAATCAAAGACCAAAAAAATCCTGGAAGGGTTACCTTTGAATCTCAACCCATGCTTTGGCCACACGAGATATTTGACTACCTCTTCAACGATCTGGGATTCACCGTCTCGCTGGAAGAACGGAAATCATATTGGGAAGAGGCCAAATCGTCTGGGGAGCCGTGGGCTGTTCGCAACCCTGCTTCGGTGGCGCACCATCCTTGTGGCATCTATGGGGACAGTGCCAGGTTGCCCACTTCGTATACCCAGGAAAAGGTGACTGGAATTTTCCTGAACCTGGTCTTGTTTCGACCAAGATCGATTAGGTGCAGTCGTTTTTTATTGTGGTCATGCGACACAAAAAAGCTGTTCCGCAACAGAACGACGAACCAAATCCTCCGGTACATCGTTTGGAGCTTCCAATTCGCATTCATTGGAAAGCACCCAACACATACAATGGGAGGACGCCCCTTGGACACTCCAAAGGCTGGCACACCTTTGACTCCTGCCAACGATTGCTTTTGCATCACAGAGAACAGAGGTGACTGGGAATGGCACCTGTTGCTGTGGCGATTCAATGCATCGTGGAAGGGTAACGAGATTTGTTACCGGTGCCCCGCAGTTTGCACAGGACCTGTAGGAATGTGCTACTACACCACAAATGAAGATGCAGATTGGCTGCATCAGGAGTTTGGGACTTCCCAGTTTTTAGCAAGGAGACTGAAGAGTCGCAACTTGTGTAACTCTGGCCTGACCCAACACTTATTTTAATTTTATGGTTTTGGGGGTGGGCCTGTGGTGCAGAATTCAAGACATATGTCATATCATATTACTATTCCCGCGTCAAGGCCCTATGATCCTATTGGATGGATGGCACCCATCCATGATAAAGATATGCTCTATGCATACCCTGCAGCTGGGACTGCTTTTTGCTGCGAATGGTGGGGCCTTGTACTGTGGCTATGTTTATTGTATTGTTTCTCTTTTCTTGTTTTTTGTTTTTTTACCCCTTTTGACAACCGGTCAAGATCTACCCATTGGCCAAGGCACCCCATCGACTGACCAGGAAGGTGTAGGTCTTCCATAGCCATGGCTGGTGCCTTGAAAAATAGTACTATATTCAGGGCCATGTAAAATGCATTTAGGGGGATACCTTAAGGAATGTGCATTTTTCAAGGCACCAGTCTTTCCTGCACGGAAGGATCATTTTGGCAGAAGAACTTTGCCACTTTGGCGCTCATGGAGGAATCTTCCAGCAACAACTAGACGCAGCCTATACTAGTTTCAGAACCTTTTGCGTGACAGCTGGTATCAGGCACAGCCAGCCTCCTTTCACAGCCAGATTGGTTTCTTGGCATATTGCTTTAGCTAGTCTTGAAATAGATAAAGAACTAGAAAATATAACTATAAAGACTATCAACCCTGCTGTTAAAATCAAAAAGGTCATTTGTCATCTCCAAGGTTAAAAAGAAGGATGGCCACCTGCTGATGACCTGCAAGGCTCACAACGGGCGGGTGGTCATGGAGTGGCTTGCTGAGGAACTACGCGTAGCTGTGAGCTCTGGCCTCTACCCAAACCACTCCCGGCTAGAGCTAGCCTCTGTTTGCCTAAGCCTTGCAGGCATTTTGGACTGACTAGTCTTCCCCAGAATAGTGTCTGCCTGGTCCTCTCTAGTCTGTCCGCCCGGTCCTCTCTAATCAAACCTGGTTGTGCAGCAAAGGACATCCATTGCTCGGGTGCAGTTTCTTAGCGAAAGCAGTGGGCGGCGATTGTGCCTTGCTCCACATTGAGTTATGTTTCTGTGTTTCCATGCGTGTGCGTGTGGATGAATGTGCAATGCACGCATGAGAGCCCATGGGTGCACTCAACCTTCATATGCCATGCCTCCTTCCCAGGACTTCGGCAGTGGCCCAGGAGATTTGGAGGGAAGGGATGCAATTCCTAGATTCCTACAAATGTCTCCAGATCCTTTCAGTGAGGCACGATATGTGGAAAATGCATGTTGTAAGGTTTGCTTGTTCTGCGCCTGAATCATGAACAAGCTTGTTCCCATGGCAGTGCTTGTTGAACTGAACCAGGGAATCCCGACAAACTTTTCTGATCCGGCCGAAGGTGCACGAAACTTGCATGCAATTTAGTGCATGTGGCAAACACACATGTAAGTCCAACAGCCTTGAATAAATTTAACCACCAATCAAGATTCAAGACAAATAAAGAATCCACCATGTATCTCCTCTTAGCTGAGATGCTGGCGCACTTGCTTTGGGATATGCTGCTCACTCGTAACGTGGATGCATTACAATTGCGCAAATCTGATCATGCTTATTTTGCAAGATTGTATTGGATGGTGTGCTAGCTGTACGGGATACAGTTACTAAGGTGCCAACTATCGCTTTTGGCATTGTTTTACTGATGAGGATGCCATGGGTTGGCTCAAACGCCACTTGGCTGAAGGCAATTGGAACCCAGGGGCTTGGACCATGGATGTGCGTTGAACATGTTCTTGGGTCCACTGTTACAGTGCCTTGTTGATCCGCTTTCAGTTGCAAATTCTTTCCAGCCAGCAAAGGAGTTGGAGCAAGCACTCACTTGAAGAACCGGCCCCGGTATATATTGCGTATTGCTCGTCTTCGGATGAAGAGTATGAAACATCGGATCAAGTGGTAACCTGGCTGAGTTTCAGATCTGGGTTGCCTATGTTGGAGTTTGTTGAAACCCTGATGGTATTTTGATCCATCTTAGGCTCTTGAGGTCTTCACAGAGACGCAGCTGAGCAAGTGTCGCACATGTATGGAAGAAAAGAAACAGCTGTGCAGCATTGGTGGAGATGCTATCCATGAAAAGGTCATGTTCTATAATGTCTGTTGTAACAACGACCATTCTAAAAAAGGCTGTTGGACTTGTAGGGTATATAGAACATTAGATCAGTGAAACCTTATAGTTTTTGAAGTTCAGACCTTCAGGATACTCAATGTTTCTGGTAATACTTGGGTCTAAGATCTTTTCAACTTCGACATGGACATCATCTTCCTAGAGCACCATCCGATCCCTATGTTCTCCTTGTGGGTCGAAGATCAAGTCTTCAGCTGGCGAAAAAGCAGCTCCACTAGCCGATGGTACCCATCCACCGGGGGGGGTGCGCGCGTCAAACACGCGAGCTGTGGGTGTTCCACACCGTTTCTTCGATGGCGAGGAACGTGATGTGCCCGAGCACATGATGGTGGAGGGCTTCCGGTGGTCAATCGGCTCCGCGTCCAAACGTTGAAAGCTCTTCTCGGGGGAGAACCCCCCCGAGATGCGACCCTGAGCTGAGATAAGCTGATAGGGTAGAAAGAGGGTTCCGAGTCAAGGGGGCCTATGGGCCCATCTGTGGAGGGGGTCAAATGCTCAAAAAGGCGGGCAACTCATTTGTGTCTCACAGTCGCGAACGGATTTGTGTCTCACAGTCGCATTAAGCTTCTCAACCGAATTTGACGGAGGAATTGAGCTGGATCGTTTTTGGGGCTGTGCATGAATGGGTGGGGGCTGTGATGTCACGGCAAAGTTGCTCATCTTGGTTCACCGGAGCATGGTGGCACCACCTACTGTAGCACTCGTGAGCACCCAGGTGATCAAGTGCATCCCTGTGCAGGGATTGAGGGTTGTCACCACAAGTGTCGTTTTCCAAGATGGGTTCCGGGGTCCAGTTTGTGCCTAGGAAGCAGTTGTTGCAACCATATAGCCCCCTCTTTTTTCAATGCAAGGAACTCATCAACAAAGTGACAAAGCAGACCCAAGCAGCACAGAACAGAACCCTCCTAGCAGCACAGAAGTCACTCGCGCGACCTCAAGTTTCACCATTCCCAAACACCAGACGTCCTCGCTCCGTTCCGGTTTTCACCGAGGCTTAGTGGCTCGGCTGTTGATGCGGATCATCACCGAGGGATCGACGGCCGTGATGCCCGGGCACCCGGCTGGAGAGGATGGTCGCCACCGGTGGGTGTGGACCCAGGTCAGGCGAAAGGACGCGTTTGGGGGGGTCGCTGCAGGTGCGACGCCTATTTTGGGCGCGTTGAGCTCTTGTGAGCCCTGTTCAATGAGTCCCATTCTCTTCTGAGTCGAAGTCAGCTTGTGCGATTTTGACTTTGTGACAAGAAGGCCTGAGAATGCCTTTCGAAGATCCACGAAGTTGTAAAGCAGCAGTCAGAGGCCTACGGCGGGTATGTCGTTGGTATGCCAGGAGGAATTCATAGGTGGGGGCCATCCCAAGGCATTTGCTCCATTTCAGTTCATTGATTGCGAGAAACTCCGGTGACCTTGGCACGACCACCCCCGTGGAAGAAAAGGACGCCAGCAAAAAAGGATGAGATCACGGGAGGGTGGCCATCCGTCAATGGTCAGACTTAACTCGTGTGGCTCGTGTGGCCCTTGACCCATCGCAGGCAGGCCATCTACCAAGACAGTGCCAAACTCCTGCGACACGCCTTGATGGAAGCTCCTCGAGTGCCTTGGGTGACCAATGGCAGTGGCCAGTGGCTAGTGATGCGGCAGCCCCCTACTCGGGGGTCCGAAACCAAGTACCGATCATCAACCATCATAGACAATATGCACAAAGTGCTACAAGTGTAATTCTGATGAGCTGGAATCATGTTGCATGTTCTAAGGTACTTTACAGGTTTCAACCTTCCAAGCATGTTCTTTTGCGAGAAGTGACAGCATACCTAGACCTAGGAAGCTTGAACAAGATGTTCACAGCCAACAAATGTGCCTGTACATTTACCATGACCTTCAGTACATGACCTCTTGGTGTCTAGCTCGTATCTACAGGCCTCAAGTTGTGACTGAAATCCTGGAATCTGGGTCAACACGGTCACCTTGAAGGTCCTGGCAATGTACCCCGGTGTTGAATGCAGATTTCTATTGAGTGTAATAAGTAGGACACGCATGGGTCCATAGATGGTCCTGGCAGTTATCACCTTGTGTTGGTTTGTTGACCTCTGATCGTATGAAATCCATTGCTGGAGGAAATCAGAGCTGGACTTTCGAAGCATCGCATTCCAGACGTTCAACCGGCGCAAAGAAACCTCTTAAAGAAGCTGCAACAACTACGTTTAGGCCATCGTGCGAAGTAGTTGTGTGCACAGCTTAAACACGAAGGCACAGAAGGTTGTTTTGCACTGGCTAGAAGGGTCCAGGGTGGGAGATCTCTCTCAGAATCCGTGGATCAGGGATCAGCCACGACTGGTGTGGGCCGCCCATTCGCAAGTCACCAACAGTGTGGCGGCTGGTGGGGGTCGCTGAGGGGACTCGAAACTCCTTGCAGCTGAATGTCCGGGTGGGCAGCCAATCAATCTCACCATTGTATTGGGCACTGAGGACGGGCCACCCAGCTCCGCCGAAAAACAAACGGCCGGAGTTTCGGGTTTTTGGGTCTCTCCTAGAGTGGTGTGATTGGCCCGATGGAAAGAGTCAGAGAGGCAAAAGATGCATTCATCTGAAGATGAACATGGAACCCCAAAACATCCCAAAACCACTGGTTGGTAGAGGAAAACCATCTTCTAGGGGACCATTCCTGCATGAATTCGGACCTTCAAAGCGCGATTGGAGAGCCGGTCGACCAGACATGGATTTAAGCTGGCGTCGATCGCGGCCTATCCTTTTCATCCCCAATTTGTTGCACGGACGTCAGATTCCATGACAACTACAGGCAACCTGTTTCTTTAGAGAAGACAAGCTGCACCTACTTTGATAGAGTCTCCGCTCTTTTTCAGCGTTTTGTTGCAATGACTTCGAGGATCCAGTTGAGCCAGGCTCCAACTCTCGAAACCAGTGAGCCCACCCGGCCGGCGTTCTCAACTCATCTTTCCTCGCAGGAGCGGTTGCCACACCGCAGCGAGGACGATGATCCAAGATGTGCTCACCATCCGCGCCGCCGCTCGCGATGAGGGGGCTGGACGAGTCCGTAGGGCTGTCCCACATGCCAGGGGATAACTACCTGAGGATGTGGTTGGAGCACTAGGCAGTGGTGAGATGTTAGTGGTCAGTGGTGGCTGGAATCTGGCCTTTCTTTGGAAAGGTTCATGGGGCCTAAATTTATATACTGTACATGATTCATCGGATGCTCATTGCCCAGAAACTTGCCCTGTATTGCTGTTGAGCCCCTTCTCCCAAAACTGGCTCTTCCACTTCCATTGATCCTTGTGGGAGATTTCCGCACTGACTGAGGATCGGGATCGGTATTACTATGGCGTGAATGACATGTTCAGGTGGTGGAGATCGATGGGCGGAGATCGTTTGATGAGATTGAGAATGCTTGAGGTTAGTGGTGTGTGTGTGTCTCAGGCAGTCTCAGGCTTGTAGACAAGTAGATTGTTCCGTTGATGAGTTGTGTCGCATCCTCCTTGCCCAAGATAATGTTGTTTTTTGACTGAAAGGCTTAAAACCAATTTTGGAATTCTGGTTCTTTGGTTGGCTATGCCTATGCCGAGATTGAAAGACGATCGTGCCGGGTAAAACATTATCCGCTGTATGTCAACTCTGAATTGCTCTTTTCAACCACTGCAGTGGACAGTGCTTTGACTGTCAACAGCTGGGGGTCGAATCTCGCTCGATCTATCAGAGTTGTTCAGAGCTCAGAGTTTTACTGAGTGAACTGCTGAATAAGCAAACCTAGAACGCATCAGAACGCACTGAGGAATGGGCATGCAGATGCTTCTTTGTAGCTTCTCCTTCAGTTAGCCCTTGGACAAAACGAGAAACTGCAAAGTAGGCAAAAGACAGTGTCAAGTTTCAAGCCGTTGCTTCTCCCAAAAGTTTTTATCAAAGAAAAATTATCGTCGCCTGCCAAGCATGCATCAAAGTGAGAAAGATGTCGCACAAGTTTCTGGAAGGCGTCAGCAACCCAGACAGTGAAAGCCCTTCTTGGTGGCATAAACAATAAACTTTATATAAACAATACTTCCGACCAATGTGGCACCTGGCCAATCAATGCAAAGCATAACTTTGGCGAAAGCCCACTGAGTAGAGCCAAAAACACTATATTTCAATATATTTCATCTCCGTGGTGAATTGTACTTCAGAACCAATGTACATGACCACCATGTTGGGCTTATGCAGAGGTCCATGGTCCATTATATGTTTTTCCTTTTCCCTAAACATCCTCATGGATAATGGGGCTACAGAATGATAAGCAGTGATCCAAAAATCAACAAACAACTGCCGACCATCGACTCAATCGAATCGCAACCGGAGGTTCCAGCCGGACATTGCAGCAAACATCCTACAAGAAGCACCCAAGCTGGTGAACGTCTTTTTGGATGGGCTCATTTGGCGCTCGCACAAGACCAAGGACATTCGCAAATTGACTGTGTGTGTGTGTGTTTTTCTTCCGCGGTAAACACCGCGCCTCCGCTTGTGCGCTGGCATGCACACGTCGCTGGCATGTTTTGATATTTGGCTTGATGTTGCTCATGATCCTGGGAAGGGCGAGTCGTCCGTTTGGTGACTGGTGGGTCGTTGGTGAGCCTCAGTGTTTCGTAATGTTGTCTACGACATTCTACGACAAAAACCGTGCTCGGTGCTTGGATTTTGGTTGGTGCTGGTCCCTGCATGCGCCGTGTGCGGGCGAGCAGAAGTGCTACGTCCTTTAGGGGGAGCTACTTGGAGTTCATCCGAATTGTAAAGCCCACGACATCAGGACGGCCTGCGTCCCGTGGTGTACTACATGGAACATTTGCTCCAAGACACCGACGAGGAGATGATGGTCTCACGAGCTTTGGTCAGTTTCTTTGGAAAAATCATGGCACGCTCCCGCAACAGCCTGACCTTTTGCGAATACCAAACAGGTGGTGAACTCCGACTCCACTTCCATGATGATTCCAGGGAACGTAGCAGTTTTTGGCTTGCTTGGTACAAAGTTGGAGACCTGACATGTCCTGAAAGAAGTCGTTTGACGGCGCACTGTTGTGCGGTTGTGCGAACCCGTTGTTTGGATCAAATATATGCATGCATGTACAACATGATGCAACCCCTTGGCTAGAGTGCATATTGTTATAATACATAACAAACAAATGAACATTCATATTGGTTTTGCTTCAGAGGCAAGAGGTGACTGTACCAAGAAATTAATGAATCTCCTTGGACCAAGCCTTTAGCAATTGGTTTCCGTTGTTTTTTCTGTCTTCTCGGGGACGCTTCTTCGACAAGCTTTAGGGAGTGGATCGTCTAAAGATTGGGACAACAAACGTCCCTGGGACACTGTCTAAGTTAGTGTGTCTTTCACCAAGTTGGCACATTCCTGATCTTCCGTTTCCTTGTGAATCGATGAATCCTCCTCCGTCCTCCGTCGTTTTTGGGTCCGTTTGGGCCGGGCCGCCAAGTGCGAAGAGATCGGTTCGAAGAAACAGGTGTTTTGGATGCCCGAAAAGCCGAACAAAACCGGAAAGAGTCTCTTTGTTGGGTCATCACCAAAGAGGGTGGCAGAAGCTTCAAGAGGTTGTTTGATGTTTAACGGGTTCTAGGGGTCCTGGGTGCTCAAGTTTTCTACGTTTTGGAAACGAGTCTTGGAAGAAACAGAGTTGATCTGCTGCGCGGTCGGACCTGGTCAGATACACTAGCTGGAGTCTACAATCTACACCAGAATCATGGTCATGGAATTTGGTCAGTCCGGTGTCTTTGACTCTGAGGAGCGTGGTGCTGTTCTCCAAATCCAGGGCACCCCACCGTGGCACTTGTTTTTTTGAGGTTTCGTGCACTTCCGAAACCCAAAGATCATTGTCCATCCGATCCTGATCTTTGCCTCTTGGAGTTGACCATTCACTGTCATGAACACTGTCCCTACAGCTCCAAGTACCTTCTGCGAAAAGTGTTTGGGGTGGGTTTGGAGAGTCCAAATACCTTATGAAGAGGTACTTGGAGCATTAGGGTATGTTTCCGTGCACCTATCTATATGTAATTTGGAGTGTACCAACTCTCTAACTGATGCAGATGAAGGGTCCTTGCAATACGTTCTGGATCACATTTTTGTGTGACCCATTGAAATCTAAATCCGATACAATGCATGCATTAGATATTTGCCCACGTGGGTGATTTTCAGATATTGGTCATTTTATAGGTAACTCTTACATCGATTGTTAAGGTACATACATACATACATACATGCATGCATGCATGCATACATACATACATACATACACACACACATACATACTTACCTACACATACATACATACATACATACACATACATACATACATACACACACATACATACATACACATACATGCATATACATACATACACATACATACAAATACATACAAATACATACATGCATGCATGCACCCATGCATGCATACATACATACTTACATACATACATACATACACACATTCATACATACATACATACATATACATACACATGCATACATACATACAGACACATACATACACATGCATGCATACATACATACATACACATACATACATGCATACATACACATACATACACACATACTTACATACACACACACACATACACCACATACATACATACATACATACACACATACATACATACATACATACATACACTTGGCTCAAGATTTCGGCCCAAGAGCAACTAGATGCCACGTGGTTGGCACTACACGAGCTGAAGGAGAACGCTCTTGAGGCTGAGGGTGGTGACTACACCCGCCTACATACATGGTGTGCACGGGATGCCAACAAAGCTGGATATGGAATGACCGGCTTGTTGGAAAGCCAGGGCTCAAATGCATCCACTGCCAGACACCATGGCAGAAACCTCAACTTCCTGACCTTCGACAACAGCACCGAGTGACATGGGCTGCTTGGAACTTCCCCAAGGGAGGTGCACAATGGCCAAGGAAGTCCTACCAGGAAGCTCTTCTAGAGTCTCCACCAGGTCTTCATGGAGGGCATGCAGGCAAGAAGCAGAAAAAGGTCAAGCAGACAGCTTTGTGCAAGGCGGTTCAGGAGCACTGGGACACACTCCCTGAAGCGCTGCGGACTCAGTGTGAGGCTCTTGGAGTACCACCTGCAGTTCCACCGCCTCCACAAGACTTGCCTACGCTCATAAAGGAGCACCTTCAGAGCCTGCCTCAGGACCTCAAGACAGCTGTCGAGAAGATCGTTGAGCCTGAAAAGCCTGAGCCTACACTAGCCACGAAATTGAAGCTATCTGTAGGAGCACTCAGGCAACTCACGGACAAGAAGGCCGCCATTCAAGCTAAGGCAGATGCAGTCAAGACCCAGTACACGGCCTTACTTCAAGAGTTGAAAGAACTTCAGAGCAAGATTGAGTCAGCTCAAAAGGATCTCCAGCAGGCCACGACCTTATACAACCAGCAGTTGGAGAAGGATAGACAGGCAGCTGACGAGACCAACATGGACCCGGATGAGCTGACGACAGAAAATTTGATGGCCATCATGGCCAGTGTAGGAGTTCAGGCCACACAGAGCCAGATCCAAGACTTTGCCAGCAAGCTCGTCGAGAATGTGGCAAAAAGAAGAAAGTGTGGGTAACCCCACCAATGTGCAACATGGAGGGATCAGTCAGACTGTGTGCGCACATCATGGGGCAAATGATGTAAGCATGGAGTCTACCGCTGAAGTTTTTGGCTCAGGCTATCTACAACCTGAGCTTGGGGTTGCATCAACGCCTTTGGCGATGATGCCAATGGAAGGGATCACCTTTCCAACCTTTTGTGGAGGTGCAAGCTCTCAAGACGACAACATGGGAGATAGCGCACCTGAAGATGCAAAGATTTTTCAAGAAGAGCCGCAGCATGGAGACAGAACCTCACTGGACTTTGTGCTGCAAAATTTGCAATGCCGCCTTGGCAATCCACGGAACCGATGTTTTGCCAATGCACCTTTTCGGCTATGGGCTTGGGCTGGAAGTTTTCTGGCAGGGCCCAAGATGTGGAACCTCACAGCTGCAGCACTACATGCAGCCCTCAGTGACGACGATGTTGTACAGATCACAAAGCTTCCTACCATGAAGCCATTGTGGTCCAAGTTCGATGACAGCATACAAGATGATGCAGCCCAGTTCCTCCTTGAGATGGTGGATCTAGCACAGCCGGCCCATGTGATCACACATCATCATCATGTGGATCATCGGCAACAAGTGCATAAAAGGAAAGAATTTCCCACACATTTGATCTTTGAAGATCGTGGAGAACCTCAACAGTTCGAAGAGCTCATCAGCAAATGGGCAAACCAAGCGGAAGGTCAAATTCTTGATGGAAGAGGCCTTTGGGTTGCGCAAGTTGGACGATACACACTTGTTGACAATGAGTGGACAAAACATCATCAAGTGTTACAGATCCCCTCCATCTTCAACCTTCCTTTGACTCTTGATGGTCAGAGCACCAAGACGGAGCAATTCTCTTTGGTGGGATTGCTGTGTCATTCTGGCACAGCTCACAAGAGTGGACACTTTTTTGCTGTTTTTGTCTACAGAGGCCTTTATTGGATTGTAGATGACGGCTCATACCCACGTCTTGTACTTCAACTTCAGGAAACTTTGAAGACCCAGATTGTACAGGTCTGGGTCTGGGCCATTCCATCCAGGCTGATGCTGCCTATTGACATCCCTTGTGGCGTTCCTATGCATGGACCAGTTGAACCAGAGTTTGAAGTTCCGCCCAAACGAAGATGTTTTGCGTATGCCAATGTGACTAGTTTGGGACCACATGTACGGCAATGGCTTTTAGGCAGAGAAAGGACTCCTATCTTTCTTGCTGAAACACACTTGGGATGCCAAAACCTTCCAATGGCTGAGTACCCGTGGTTTTGCTGCGATCAGCCCAAAACTGATGGTGGTTTTCCCAACAATCTCCATTTTCACTTCATCCAAAAGCAATTCATTGACGGCTGTGGTTGGTTTGCTGTACACTGGACGTTTGAGAATTTTGGCCTCATCATCATGGTGTATTTCAAATGTGGAGAAGGGCTTCAAGGGGCCACGAATGCTCGTTTGTGGTCTGGTTTGCTCACCTTTGTGACCAATCTGGCTACACCGGCCATAGTGATTGGTGATTTCAACATCACGCCCGAAGAATTCATGACTACCTCCATGAACACTGTGATGCAAATGCAAGTTCTAGCAACAGGCGAGGACACCTGTCTGACTGGACGAGAAATTGATTGGGCCTTGGTCCCCAATGCTCTGCATCCAGAAGCACGGATCAAAGTTGACTGGCAAGTTCCTTTCAAACCTCATGGGCAACTTACCCTTCATTTGGACAAAAGAGCTTCAGCACATCACGGTGAAACAGATCCAACGTTTCCAACCTACACCGAAACTTGACAAAGTGAAGATTGAATGGAGCCAGCTTGAAGACATCGATTTGCCTGTCAGATGGCTTGAGCTGCCCACAAATAGTTTGACACAAAGAACAGGCAGTCTTTATCGCAAGATGGAGAGGTATGTCCTTCAACATCATGACCAGCCACATTTTGGTCGAGGAACACAGCTGACATACATACAGAGGCCACTGGCGGATCCAAGTCGTCCATGAATTTGGAAACGAGGCACCTTGGCCTATTGGGCTCAGATGGAGATCAGGCTCCAGCAGCATTTGCATCGACTGCAACGAGATCAGGGAGTCATGCACCATCTTGAGAAGCTTGGGCGGCACATTTCAGCAAACTGGCACTCAGATGCAAACATGACCCAAGAAGGTTTCGTGCTTCTTTTCCAGATGCTTTGGAAACCGCATGACACAGAACATATCACAGTGCTCCTGCAAGCTGTCAAACAACAGTGGGAACTCAACCAGCAGCAGATCTGTGATCATGAGTCACAAGAATACCGGTCCTGGCTTCAACAGCCACCAAACAGGGCTGCAGAGGCCTGTACAGAACGCTCAAGCGTGATGAAATGCCGTATGCTCGAACTTTTCAAGAATGTCCCAGAGCAGAACGGATGCAGAAGAGACTACAGCAATGGGGCACCACTTGGGCAGAGCAAGCTGAACCTTTGGAGCCCACTACATTGCAAGCACTCATCTACAATGGCCAGGAGGCAGCCAAGGAGCTCAAGCCTTTGCAGGTGCATCAGCTGTGGAAAACCATCCGGAAACTCAGCAACAAAGCAGCTGGACTTGATGGCGCCGGATATGACTGATTTAAAGAATTATCATACCAGGCGATGCCTGAACTCATTGCTTTGTTTCATGAGATTGAAGCCCAGGCCACAATCCCACAACAATGGTCCACAGCTTTGATTGCCCTGATGCCCCAAAACCAGGACATTGAGAGACCCATTGCACTCGTTGCATCGCGGTACCGGCTGTGGTGCAAGGTCCGTGCACCCTATACGAAGCAATGGCAGCTTGACATCCAGGACCTGTACCAATGGGAACGTGCAGTACCAGGTACAGAATGCCTCAAAGTCGCACTCAGAAGAGCTTTCATGACTGAACATCATCAGGCCTTGAAGGGAACCGTCATTTCAGTCCTCATGGATATGTCGACTTCTATGGCCGCCTCAACCTTGACAAGCTCTCACAGAGATGGCTGGATTCTGAGTACCCAACCACCCATGCTGCTCTTGCCATGCAGATCTACTGTGGAAGCCGAACCCTTGAAGCATCCAGACCTATGTAGGCCAAGAATGGCATTTTGGCCGGAGATCCACAGGCTCCTTCGGCAGCCAAGATCTACTTGAAAGAGGCACTCCACGCTTTTCGCAAAAGATACCCGCAACTCCAGCTGGACCTTTGGATAGACAACCTGAGTTTCGATGTTGTGGATCGGGACCCTGCAAATGCTGTACGGATTGGCATAGCTGCTTTCAACTACATCAAAGGCCTTTTGGAAGCGGACAATCTGATCATTTCGGAGAAAAAGACTGGATTCATCACATCCAACAGCACTGCCAAGAAACTTCTTGCAGAACAGCACCCCGCCTCAGGGCCAAAGGTACATGATGTGATGAGGGATCTTGGAGTCGACTGCGCCGCAGGGCGCTTGAGAAGAGTTCAAAGCCCACAAGAAGACCAAGAAGATGCAAGCATTGAAGATCCCGCAAAGAAGCATACGGCTCCGGCTGTACAAAGGCAGTATCCTTGCTGGCAAAAGTTGGGGACATGAAGCAATGGGACTTGCACCGCAGCACAGAGCCCGGATTCGTGCCACCATGGGACGCCAATGGGGCTTGCAGAGAACTGGAAACCTGGACATTGTCTACGACATGCATCCAGGCCACCAAAATCCGGATTACGCTGCTTTCTACGACCAAGCCAAGATTTTCAAGCGCTTTGTTGACCAATGGCCAGAAGCCTTGAAGAGAGATTTGGAGAAAGCCTGGCAACATCACCAAGAGCGCCTGGAAAAAGCTGCCTATCCTTGGCAAGTGGCACGCGGACCTGTCGCAGCAGTGCAATGCTATCTCAAAGAAAAGGGCTGGCGTCCGGAATCCCTTTCGGAATGGGCCGAACCTGGACGCAATGGAGCGCCTGACTTCAAGATTCTCCTCAATGAAGCTTGGCCCACCATTAAAGCGGAGTTGAAGCGAGCAGAACAGAGTGACCGCATCCTCAAGATCAGTGGGAGAAGCATGCTTCAAGATGTTCAACGCCCACTTGACTGGAAGCCTTGGCAACGCATGAACCAGAAGGTGAATCAACATGATGCCTGCGCTCTACAAACATGGCATCAACGCGCCCTATTCACCAAGATCAGTGACAGCTGTGAGGGCCAGCACCTACAATGTCCTCATTGCGCACAAGCAGCCACAGCAGTCCATTTGCTGTGGCTATGCAAAGACACGACCAAAGTTTTCCAGCATTGCATCTGGATGATCATTTTGAGCTAGAGCATGGTTTGCTGATGGTCCCGGCGCAGAGCTTGTCCACGGGGGGAGCTTCAGTCCAGGCTTGGGGAACCTGGACAACACAAGATGAAGCAACCATCAGGCATCCAGATGTTGTGACGATTGGCGGGGCTGGCACTTCCACAGATGCCCGGCTGAAGCACTATGCAGTATCCATTGTCCACCATACACAAATTGGTGGCCAACTATACAGACAGGCCATTCTCCCGGGCAAACAAACGTGGGAGAGAGCTTGGTTCTATGGAGTGCGCATGGCTGCACACTATGTGGAACTCCAACAGAGACTGGTCCTCCATTTTCAAAGCACCAGAGCATGGGAAGCATTCAGACCTTTTTCATGATCTTCGAGGACTAGTCACTTCAAACCAGAAGCAATGCATCAAAGTCCTTTGCATCAGTCCCAAACAGCCAAAGGAGAGGCCCAAAAATGAATGGTCCCTGAGAAACAGAATGATGGATGCGGCAAATGCGGCCAAGGAGGTTGCGCTCTCACTGCAACCCATTGAGCAAGAGCAAGAGCTTCAAGCCCAAGACAAAAAATACCAGCGAATTGCATCGCATCAAGCATTTACTTGCTGACAAGTCCCACTTCCTGCATGAGGCAAAGGAGACTGGAAAGCAAAAAAGATCCCAAGCCCGAGAGCAGAAGCGTGAGATAATCAACAGCCTGACCCGTCCTCAAAGCCCTGAGCACCACCAATGGGCAGCCAAAGGAACAGCAATGCAGTGTTTGCAATGCAAAGCCAGGCTGACCATGCATAGCAATCTCCAGGACATCAAGGACGGGAAAGATGCCAAATGTGACCAAGCCACAGGCCACAGCTTAGTTGGAGGTGCAGCGAGCATCACCGCAAAAGCAGAGCTGATCCAGCAAATGCTAGAGGGCACCATGCCAAACATGGCCCCGCACCAGTTGATTCTCAAGAACCACTACATTGTTTGTGAGACTTGCAATGTACGGCTGTTGAAGAATTCAGCGCAAGAAAAGCTGAAAGAACTCTCCAGCAAAACCTGCTGGAATCAAGCCTGGTCTGGAGGGCCTACATGGACAGGCCATGGCTCCCACAAAATTTGGCGAAAAGGTGGCAAGATATGGTGCCAGACATGCCAAGCGCATGCAAACATGACGGAAGCAGGTCCGATGGCAAGCAAAGCCTCCTCAAGACTGGTCCGACGACTGGACAGCAAAGCTTGCCACACCTGTTTCGACCAAAGGTCGAGTGAACTCGAGCAGAAAGAAAAGAACCGCAGAAAAAACATACATACATACATGCATACATACATTCATACATACATACATACACACTGACTTACTTACTTACTTACATACATACGTACATACATACATACACACATACATACATACATGCATACATACACATATACATATACATACATACATACACACACATACATATACATATACACATACACATACACACACATACACATACACACACATACATACATGCATGCATACATACATACATACACAAATACAAATATGTTATACATATGTTGATATATTATTACAAAGCTCTCCAGCAAGTAGGTCCTCTGAGGACTGGACTCTGGATGTCACCAGCCAGTCTGGAGGTGCACCAACTCGTGAAAGTTTGTTCCCTAAACAGTGTGGTAGCACTAGGGGTTCTTACTGTAGTGGTTAAGGCCGGGTCCTGATCGGAGGTTCGCACCGGCGTTTGCGGCTAATTCGCCGCTATTTGCTGTACATTCATTCACCTCGAGATCTTCGAAGTGCATTTCGACTGCGCAGGCTCGCAGGAATTGGTGTGCTGGCGCGGGTGCTCTCGTTGTGGCACCGTGCGCACTTTCGGACTTGGTGGACTTTTTTCGCGGCATGCGCAGGGTAAACCTCGTGTTTTGGTGGTCCAAAGACTTTTGGACAAGTAGCTCGTTTTAAGAAATCACGGGAAGTCTCGAGCGAAGCCTGCGTTTTGGCATCTTGATGTTGTCCTTGGAAGTGCTCTTGCTGCGATAATCTTTGGCAGGGATGCGCGATGATAATCTTGATGTGCAAATTTCGTGGCAAGCGCAGCGCTTTGTGGACTTTGAAGTGCAGATTTCGTGGCAAGCGCAGTACTTTGTGGACCTTGAAGTGCAGACTTCGTGTGAAGTGCGGATTTCGTGGCATGCGCTCATATGTGGGCTCTCACGTGTGCTCTTTTGTATGTGCTCCCATGTGTGTCTTCTCGTGTGCGTGTGTGCTATCTCGTCTCTCGTGTGCTTTTACATGTCCTTCCGTATGTGTGCTCTCTGGACCTCCAGCCTGGCCGCAGATCTCTAGACATCTCTCTCCACCTCTGGGCCGCTGGCCGCTGGAACTCAGAGGATTCGGGTTCGGCGCCTACTTAGGAGGGTCCAGGTTGGGTCGCATTTGGGAACAACTAAAACATCAATCCCAGCCTCGGACCTCAGGGCTCCAACTACTTCTTCAGAAACTACTTACACCCACCAGTCACCGTTGGAACAAATATGAGTCGCACACGCGTGCAATTTTCCAAATGGACCCAGCCTAACCCGACCCACGTCCCAGGTGTCGGATTTGCTTTGGGAGAAGCTGGTGCCCCGCGCGGGATTTGGGGAGTCGGAGTCGGAGTGGTGTCTTTAAGGCAAGTGGCAGATGTTCAGGTGCTCCAAAATTCGACCCACACACTGGCATGCTGACACCGAAATCTCACAGTGAACCGTTTTTGCGATTGGTACGTCAAACATCATTAAACCCATATCCTGAGATCAAAAACCTGCTGGGTTCAGGCGGTTCATGCAACATCACAAGCGAACTCCCCACTTCCTCCCCATTTCGGACATGTGTGCGCACCGATGCACTCCGTCCTTGTGAGCGTCTGGGCTGCGTTTGACCCCCGAAGTGTGTCAAATCAAACATGAATGAGAACCAAGAGAGGTTAATTAGTGATCTCAAAGGCCCTTCTGGGGTACCTATGAGATATCTATAGATGTCTATACGGTTCTTCAACCTGTGTTGGAGCTCGCGTGGATCAAACTAAAGAAATATACTTATTGTGTAAGCTTCACATGTTGTTGTTGCTGTTGTTGTTTTTTTGTTTGTTTGTTTGTTTGTGTGTGTGTTTTGTTTGTTTTTTTTGTTTTGTTTTTGTTTTTGTGTTTGTTTGTTTGTTTGTTTGTTTTGTTTATTTTTGGTTTGTTTGTTTGTGTGTTTTTTTGTTTTTGTTTGTTGTTGTTTGTGGTTGTTTGTTGTTGTTGGTTGGTTTGGTTTGGTTTGGTTTGGTTTGGTTTGGTTTGGTTTGGTTT